TCCAATTGGTCCCTTTGGAAGATGTGAGAGAATTAGGTATTTTGAAAACTATAAAAGGGGAAAGACTCAGGCCTTTCTCCTTTTCTATACAAATGTTACCACTGGGTAAGCACAGAGATGAGTATTCTAGCAAGTTAGTAAACAAGGAATGATTAATTGAAATAGTACAGTCATATTTCCTACTGAAATTAGAATCTAAGCCTGGAGCTAGTAATACAAAGCAAGACAGCCAAACATGTGCCTCATGTTGAAAACCACACTACCACCTATGAAGTAACCTTTCCACCAAAAAAATCAAACCCTTGTCTGATTAAGCCTCTAGATAGTACAATTTGCAGGAAATACTAAGAGCCAGGGAACTCAATAAATAGACTGCACTCTGAGAACACAATCAGCCAAATCCTGACTGTGGGGAGTCTGCAGGACACATCATCTGATTTCTTCAGCAAATAATTTGGAACAGGAAAAAAAGACAAAGTGGGAACCTTTGGATTAAAAGAGACCTAAAAGATATATTTAAAACAAACAAACAAAAAACAGGCCAAAGCTAAACTGCAGTGTTTAGGGATTCAGGTCTGGTTGATAAAAGCATATAAAGAAAAATGAGAAAATAATCATGAAAGCCAGTGGAATGCCTGCTCTTAGGAGAGTAGAGGCAGTTTGGGGAATAGGCACATGAAAGGGTTGGGAGTGGGAAGTGGGCTGGGCTGTGGTCGGCAATGTTTTGCTTCCTCACAAGTGGTGATGACAAGAGTGTTGCCTTAGTATAATCCGGTAAATTATATATTTGTTTTATGTTGTTTTCTATATTTGTTACATTTAACAAAAGTTTTAAGTGATAACAAAATCAGAAAATATTTGCTTACATTTTCACTTATTTATTCTTTTAATAATTTAAGAAAAACTTATTGAGTGTGAGCTGGGGAAACTAGCAGATACTGATCCTTGCCTTCAAAAGCTTTGTGTTTTGAGAGTGATGCATGCTGCGTATCTCTCACGGTAACCACATTAGATTGGAGTGCGTGACAGAGGAGGAAGTGTAACCATATGTCATTCATTACATTAAACCCATTTGGTATAATCTTCATAAAATTATGATATAAGTGGTAAGTGCTTTTATGCCTACATTTTAAGTGAAGAAACAAGAGCAGAAGCCTGAGTTCAGGCTTAATCTGCTGACATGGACTGGCTTCACCCATTCTTTCCTGCAACAACATTCTTTCAAGGCTCTTATGTATACCAGGAAAATCAAAATGCCCTGCTATATAAGCTCTCACTGAGGACTGTACCAAGTGCTGGGAGAAGTGAGGAAGAGATAATAACTATGCCTGCAGAAAGTTCCATAGAAGTGATATTTTAGCTGAATTTGGATTTCACCAGGAAAAGGGACAAAGTGGGTAGAGGTGAAGTGGGAAGGATTCAGGCTGGTGGAGTGGCACCGTAAATGCCAGGGGCATGGGAGAGCGTTCAGGGTCCTACAGCTGTACACTGGGCAATGGGTAGGTAGGGTTTGCCTAAAGAGAAGGCAGCATCACCTTGTGGCTACTAAACAATTGGTATTTAAAAGGTACATTTTTACTTTCCATGGAGCACCTTCCATTGGGGCCATGCTAGATCTGCACCAGCACAAAATACAGAGTGGCCTCAGGTGTCAAATATATAAACCTTGTTATTCCAGAAGATGTCGATGCATTCACAGATGATGGCTCCATAACTGGTTCATTCTGCTTTACCCTGTTCATTCTAAACCTCTCCCACAGCGCTTATCTGCAGACTTCTCTCCTACAAGAGTGGGATTTGCCCGCAGGCCTGGCACAATCTGCTCTGGCTGGGTTTGCCTCCTGCTCTTGGACAGTAACAGAGCTCTGTGATTTTGAACTTGGGCTGGGTCTGCCTGATGTGCCTCACTCTCTCCCAAATTATTACTAGTTGAAGCCGGTGTCTTCTGGCCTGTGGTCAGGTCCATATTTCCACACCCTGGAAGTTGCCCTGGTCCCAAGGTCATTGCAGCCAATTGGAGAAGCCCTATCAGCAGGCAGAGTCCTGAGATGGGCAAGAGAAAGACTTCCGAGAGAGATGACAGGTTTGGAATGGGAGTGTTTGGGCGTGGGAGGGAGATAGAATAAATTCAGCATGGGGATGGAGGCTGTGCAAGCTGCTTATTGTTGCACACAAATGACAATGGCCCTCATGCTGAAATCTGGGTTTGAGTCTGGATCTACCCTTCGTGAGTGTGAGAATCTGCCCATGTCTCTTAGGGTGTCTGCTCTTGGGTTTCTTAACTTACAATTTAGGAATAAAAGTACTTACTTTACGTATCATAATGTTTTGAGAATTAAACCAAATTGGTATAATATATATGGACTTGTCAATGATCATAGGGGAAGGCTCTTGACCTGCATCACTTTCTCTTAATCTGGATTTGCAATAAATGCACTGCATATGTATTACTGCATATGTATTAAGTGACAGCACTGAGTGCCTTCTAAGTGCAAAGCACTTATTTATTAGCTCCATGAGCTAAAAGATGATGCTCTAGGAACCTGGAAGATGATATGAGACACTCCTTTGGCAGCAAACAGCATGTTTTAGTGCCATGATTGCCATCTCATTTATGTTACTTCAGATCCAGCTACTTTCAATCACCCACATTAAGTGAAGGGTATTGTGCCATTGGTAATTGTAGTACCAATTGTCATTTTTTGACATCTTCTATTTAGCTTTGGAAGTCTTTATATGATGAAAGAAAGGTAGCAGATTTACTTTCCATTATGCAATGGATACCATTTATTATGCTAGTCATTGTACAAGGCTCTGAGGGCTCAGCAGTAAGACACTGACAGGGATGCAAAGAAAAGGTGATAAATTCCATGATAGACATGCAAACAGACCTCATCGTGATTTAGAGGGTAGGAAAATCTCATGGAGGAGAAAAACTATCAGTCAGGATGGTCTAAGTTTGCTGCAGTAATGAACAACTCTCAATTCTCAATGGCTTAACATCCCAAAAGCTTACTTCTCATTCATGCTACATATCCCAGTCCCATCACAGGGGGCTCTGCACATTGCAGCCACTTAGAGTCACAGGATGATAGAGATTTTACCTTAACATGTGCTGCCATGATGACCTTATAAGGGGAAAGGGACATGAGAATTTTGCAATTCTTCCTTATGCTCCTACCTGGAAGTGGTGCGTATCCCCTCATTTGACATTTCCTTGGTCACAGCTAGCCATATGGCCACACCTAACTTCATAGGGGAAGGAGTGCAATCCTAGCTTGTACCTAGAAAGTAAAGAGCTAGAAACACTCAGTGAACACCACTAATGACTACTGTACGTGTAGAGATGAGTGTGAAGGAGGCGGGCTTCCCAATGAATGAGAAGCATTAGGAAAGGTGCAAAGGCTGGAAAGCCTGGCTGCAGAGAAGGGGTCCAAATAGGAATGCTGGAAGGCAAGACTGCAAAGGAAGACAGGCCACATTGTGAAAGCCATGCTCAAGAGATTGGATTTGATCCAGGAGACACTGAAGGTTTTAAAGAAGCTGTGGTTGAGGAAAATGAACCCGACTGCCATGTGTAGGGGAGATCAGAGGGTGGCAAATTGGAGGCAAGAGATCCACTCTCTTCTTACACAAATCCAGGCGAAGGGTGATGAGGGCATGAATAGGGGTCTTTCCTCTACATGGAGAGGAAAGAAAGAACTCTACATATCAGCTACTTGAGAGAAAGGCTTAACCAGCGTTGGGACTAATTGGATATAAGATGTAAGGGGCGGGAAGTAGAGAACGAAAGATGATTCCAAAGTGTTGAGCTTATGAGAATGATACTATTATAACCAGAGAAAAGACTGGAAGATGGGCAAGTCTGGGAAGGATGTTTGGGGTTTGTGGATTGCAAAACAGAGATTTTTATTTTATTTACTCTTGTTTCCCAGCACCTAGAAGAGTGCTTGGCATATAATATGTGCTCAATAATATTTATTGACCATGTAATACCAGTAGAACACGAATGGGGAAGTTCTCAGGCAATTGTCAATGCAGAATTGGCTCTGTTTCATGATGTCAATGCTAGACAGGCATATTTACCTATTTGAAGCCATAAGATAAGATGTCAGGGAAGTGTAGAGAAAAATGGGAGGAAGTCGAAGAGAGAAATTTGGAAACCATGATATTTAGGGGCCAGGAAGTAGGACCAGAATCCAGGGCAGGATGAGACCAATCTATCTCAGATACTATAAATGTGTAAAGGATGCTAGGAACAGACGAGGGGGCATTTGGTTTGGCAACTCAGGAGTCTGGTGACCCACCCAGGGAGAGCTGGAAGGAGGCCAGCAAGAGCCTCTGACAATGAAGAAGGAGCAGCTACTGGCCACAGGAAAGCCTGGGCCAAGGGACAGTTCTGGTTTTTGTTTGGGTTTGGAGGGGTTGTCACTGAGACCTAGTCTTGTAGCCAGGTGGAGAGAGATCATAGTTGCAAGAGGGAGGGAAAGTAACCATGGCTGGCCCCAAGGAAGCAGCTGGAAGCGTCCTCTTCCAGCAGAAAAGGAAAGGGCCACTTCTCCCAGGTGAAGAAGCAAGCGTAGGGATAGCTTTCGTTGTTAAGTTCTTACTGTTATGTGCGGGGCATAGTGCTAATGGCCACCACCAATCAAGTTGCCACAGCTTTTACTTCTGTCACTTTTAGGCCTTATTTTCACCTTTACCAGAGGGGCGGAGGTTCCCGGAGGCTCTGAGGGAGGCGGGAACGAGCGAAGGGGCGGCCGGCCTGGGAAAGGTGCCGGCGAGAGCAGCCGGCGACGGGGCGGGCCCCGGGAGGCCACACCCTGAAACTAC